GGGGGGGGGGGTTCTAATTACCACGTTGGCAATATAAGATAAAGTTGAGTTTTGTGCGAGTGTCTGTGTGGATACGCGTGCATGCGTGTGTGTGTGTGTGTGTGTGTGTGTGTGTGTGTGTGCGCGCGCGCGCGCGCACGCGAGCGCGCAAACGCGCAAGCACGACTTATGTTTACATAATATGTCACCCGCGCTTCTAAGTTGCACAAGGTAAACACACGCACTTGCTCATTTATCCAATCACTGTTGTCACCGCTGACAACGATTTATTACCTAACAGCCAACTATGTCTCCAGCGTTCAGCAAAGGATGATCCCTTTCCCACGTGGTACTTTCTTTGTAAAACTTTTCTAGTAAAACGGTTTCAAAAGCTGTTAAAAAAGACCCCCCCCCCCCCCCCCCCCCCCCCCCAAAAAAAAACACCAAATTTTTTATTTACAAATAAATAAATAAAGACAAGTCCTGACAATTATGGGGAGAAGGTTCGTGACATATTCTGTTCAACCTGGCCATTGACTGGGTCATGAGGAAAACAACAGAGGATACATCAAGAGGCATAACTTTCTTCTCCACCCTCGAGGATCTTGAGAAATCTTGACTTTGCCGACGACCTTGCACTGCTCTCCCATACCAACCAGCACATGCAGGAAAGAACAAACCGACTCCACAAATACGGACGCCAGATTGGGTTAAGAATAAGCCTGAAGAAGACAGAAGTGATGACACTGAATGTAGGCTCCCCAACGCTGATTAGGGTGAACAACACAGACCTCCCTATAACAGACACATTTACCTACCTAGGCAGCATAATCAAAACTAACAGCGGCACAAAAGAAGACATCATGAACGGACTCGGCAAGGCAAGATCTGTACACAGAAGCATGATCAACATCTAGAAGTCAGGACAATTTAGTATACAAACCAAGTTAAAGCAGTATAACAGCTGTGTACTATCCACACTCCTATATGGAGCTGAATGCTGGAGGATGACTGATCATGACCGTGCCAAGCTATCTTCCTTTCATATAACCAGCTTACGCCAAATCCTCAAAATCGTCTGGCCCGACAAGATCTCCAACGCAGATCTGTTACGCAAATGTAGGCAAGAGGACATGACCACCATTATAAAAAGGAGAAGATGGAGATGGATTGGACATGTTCTGAGAAGAGATCCAGACTCTATTGTGAAGACTGCCCTCCACTGGACACCCGAAGGCCGTCACAAAAGGGGCAGACCCAAAGTAACCTGGAGACGCACAGTAGAGTCTGAAATGAAGTCCTGGAATCATTCGTGGGGAACGCTGTCCAAGATGACCCAAAACAGACAGAGCTGGAGATCCTTTGTTGCTGCCCTAAACGCCAGATGGCGTAATGGGTAGTAAGTAAGTAAGTACATTCGTGACATAGTTTCCCCAAAGACCCAGTTACCAACACGCTCACTGTAATAATAATATAATAATATATAACATTTATAGAGCGCATTTCCAAAAAAAGTAGCTCAATGCGCTTTACATTGGAATACCCATTTTTCAAAAACCTTTCTTACTACTTCCTTTCTTCTCAAGCAATATACATTAATGCACACACACACACACACATACACACACACACACACACACACACACACACACACACACACACACACACACACACACACACACACAGAGACTATTTTCATCCAGACATAGGAAAAGAACAAATATAATGAAAGATAACGTTAAAAGCTTATGAAGGATAGGCCTGTAGGAACAGAAAATGTTTAAGATGTCTTTTGAAGCTATCAAGTGTTCTTATTTGTCTTAGTTTCATGGGTAATCTGTTCCACATAAATGGACCAAGATATGAGAAAGATCTCTCTCCATATGATTTGTATGATTTTACAGGTGTCACAAGTAGGGTGTTATCGTTCGATGATCTTAGGTTTCTCCCTGGTTTATATATACTGATAAGTTCTTGTAGATAAAAAGGAGCAGTTTTATTTACACATTTGAAACACATGACGCAGATTTTAAATATTATTCGTTCTTTTACAGGGAGCCAATGCAGTTCTTTTAATAATGGAGTGACATGGTCTCGTTTTTTAGATCTTGTTATCAGTCTAGCGGCATTGTTTTGAATTACTTGTAAACGATTCAAATATTTGTTGTTCAGACCTGCTAGGAGTGAGTTATATTGGTCTAATCTAGATAGGATAAGAGATGTATGGGCCCTATCGTTAGGATGTTTTGTTTTATGCGACTACATGCACACTTACACAAACATACTTCATAATAATGCATATATCTAGGCTTTCCTCTGAATCGCGGAAATCTTACCTTTGAACTCAACCTACCCCAGCTCGCGGCAGAGACGTCACACGCGTCAGACATGGGAGCCTTCATCTTGTCCTTATCGGCATGGCTGGTACGCTCCCATTTGCATGAACGATCTTGAGATCCCATCCGTTTCCCCTCTAGCTCTAGTGCATGAATCACCGCCCTGCCCTCCACATTTCAGTACAAGCTTGTAGATTTCTTCCTAAGACCGTCGAAACGTCTCAAGAGTCTCGAAAAGTACTCGCACATGTCTATTGGACTGGGCATGTTTTGCCCTTAACGCTCAGACTCAGAGTCCCATGATCGGCGCAGACAGCCTCCGTTCGTTCTCGTGGGTGACATCACTGCCACGAACTATAGTAGTAAATTATATAACTGCTTTGCAGTGGCGGCTCGTGGTTTATAGAACTGACCGGCCATCAATCACATAGACTCTTTCTTCCCCCCCCCCCCAACCCCCTTCCTTCACAACACACTCACACACACACACACACACACACACACACACACACACACACACACACACACACACACACACACACACACACTCACACACACACACACACACATACACAAATACACACACACAAACACATTCTCTTTCTCTCTCTCTCTCTCCCTCTCTCTCTCTCTCTCTCTCTCTCTCTCTCTATCTCTCTCTTTCTGTCTTTGTTTTTTTTGTGTATTGGGATATGGAGGAGGTCGGAGGGGG